CTTTGACCTCATGATTCTCATTTGCTCTGACGTGCACTGTGAGCTGTAGGGTCTTATATGGACAGGTGTGTGGCTTTCCTAATCACGTTCAATCAGTATAATCAAACACAGCTGGACTCAAATGAAGGTGTAGAACCATCTCAGGGATGATCAGCAGAAATGGACAGCACCTAAGTTAAATATATGAGTGTCACAGCAAAGGGTCTGAATACTTATGACCATGTGATATTTCAGTTTTTCTTTTTTAATAAATCTGCAAAAATGTCAAACATTCTGTGTTTTTCTGTCAATATGGGGTGCTGTGTGTACATTAATGAGAAAAAAATGAACTTAAATGATTTTAGCATATGGCTGCAATATAACAAAGAGTGAAACATTTAAGGGGGTCTGAATACTTTCCGTACCCACTGTACTTATAGTTCTCAAGTGTGTTAATTACTCATGACAACCTGCAACTGCGTACAGAGGCTTTTTATGACTGACTGCCTGTAGGCTGTAGCAGGTGAAAGACAGTAGGTCAAACTGGATAAACATCTTTTTCGAAGAAACTAAACGCTGTTTCAACAAACACTAAACTTAACTCGACTTCTGAGGTAAACAACTCGGAGACAGAAGAGTTTTTGGTTCCAGAGCAGTGGAGCAGGTAGTTCAACTAAGGTGATCTGAAAAGCCAGCAACAGTGGAGCTCAGATACAATGATCCATCATGGCAGCAGGCAGATAGAGAGCAGCGCCGCCATTTTAACCCCAATTATCTTTAACAAACCAGCAGCAGTGACAGAGCCTGAGCTGGAGACAAGATCAATATGTTAATGTTACATTTTCTTCAGCCTAGTCCAGCCTAGTTCTGAGCTGAGGATGAATCCTCGCTGTCCAATAGGCTACTGATCGTTTACACTGATGATCGTAAAAGCAATCACATTAATAAAGATGGGTCTTTGCTAACAAACTATTAGGCTACTATCTAATTGGGATTTTTATTCTCCTGACATAAACTTCGCAAAATTCTAGGCTAATACGCTCTGATCTTTGCTTCAATATGGACTGTACGAATGAGGAAACCAAGCAGGCCTGTCACAGCTTCTTCAGACTCTGCAGGGAGGAGGAGACAAACCTTGGGTTTGTTGAAGATACCATGAACACTGTTTTGGTCTTAGGTGCCAAGATTCTGAGACGTCTCCACCACAACACAGTGCATGTGTTCAATATCCCTTCCCTGAAATGGAGTCTACATTACTTTGGATAATCAAAAGAGATGTAAATAACTGTAAACAGTCTCTTAACTGGAACTACTTCCTGATAAGGAAATTGTCTTCTAAGAAGTGATCACAGGGAGCAACGGGGACACTAGATAATAACACACATTACAAATTAAATCCCACTGAACTTCACTGTATTGTGGTAAGTAAGCAAAGCATGCTTCCCAAAACACTGGCTCCTGGAAACCACAACTATCTCCAAGTTAAAACCTGAACTGATCCACTGTTCTGACAGCGGATGTTGCACTGACCTACCCAGTCATTTATCTTGGTATAAATCTAATAATTTCAGGCCCTGAAGGAATCTTAGACACAGTTAAAGTTTAAAGGATCCGTCTACACAAATCACAGCAAGAATCTCACTTACCTTTAGTCTGGTGCTATGCTGTCATGCAGACCGGTCTGGTTGGATAAGGTCAGTTTCACCCTAGTGCAAAGGAGATAAATGGACATTTGTAACTAAATTATCAAAGCACTGGGAAAGAACAATACTAACAGGTCAACAATCAGACACAATATTGCAAACCCAGGAACATAAAGTACAAAAACTATGTGCGTCACAAGCAGCAGTTTTTGATTTGTTGAACTATCCCTTTAACTTAAAACGTGGTAAAATGTTTTTCATGAATTACTGAGCTAATCACTTAAACCATTAAGTTGTATATGTTAACGGAATCACCCAAAGCCCAGGATAAATGTCTTGTTTATTCTAACAAGCTGTTAACTTTGTTAGGTTATTTCTTAGTTAGATAGATATGGATTAGAGATTTGTTGTCTAGAAATGTTTAGTGCAGACAGGGTGACTAGCTTAGGCTGTAACTATTCAGCCTGCAGGGACTGCAGGCACGCCAAGGTTACAGGAAAAGAGCTTTTAGGGTCAACTGTAATGCTAGTCTTAATATTTGTCTTAATGTGTAAGGTTATGTCCAATTGTTTAGATACACACCACGAAAACAACAGTCACGCACCTTGACTTTGCCTCATGTTTTGGCTAAGTTGGGTCCAGAGATCTTGAGCTTTTCTGCTGCCTGCGCGCAGGTAGAGGGGTGAGAGAGCTCTGGACGTGTAATGTGAAGTTTACCTGTGATCCTCTGAATAAACCAGCACGGTTATTTTTTATAAAATCTAAAGCAGTCTACTTCGTCTCATTGAGAGTTCCTGGTTTGAAAGAACCGGAAGAAGCTACAAAGAAATAATAGCTTATAACTTGAAGATTTCCAACTGAAGATCACAAACGACTAAACCATAAGACAAACCTGGCTAAAACTGAATCAACTTAGACAAGCATTGAAGGTAATAACCGTCAGTATTTTAAGATACTAACATTACAACGAACCCAGTCCCTTTTTCTTTCGTTAAAGGTTCATTCAGAGAAAAACTGCAATTTCGTACTTGCTGTCACCTGTGGAGCCGTATGTTTGCCGCACCACACTCGGCTGGACACCTTCTTTTTTTTTTTCTTTTTTACCGAAAATAGTCCATCGAACAAAATGTGTCTAGGCTATTAATTCTACCATATGTTACATTGGGGGGTGGGGGGGCTGTTTACTTTGAGATTATCTCCGTTAATTTTAAACTTACTCGTGTTTTCGACGCTTGAACTTCCACGAGAATCGCGGTTATTGTATTCGTAATCGCCATTTTGTAGGACATTCAAGTATCCTCGTCTATGATTGGTCAGTTAGTGAACAGGCCAATCATAGCCACCATTACTAGCCACACAGCCAGCCAATCATATGCTTTGTTACGATGACTGAAAGCTATTATAGCCAATGAGATTATGACTAATGATTTACGGCAAATTAGGATTCTCTTAGAGGAGTTGCGTCAGTTTCTCTGCTTAAGGTCTTAAAATGCTCAGAAAAAAGCTAAAAATAGTATTTTAAAAGAATTTCACACTTCTTTAACAAATTAATCGTTTTATGTATCTTAAGTAGCTTTATCTAGTTCAATTTAGTTTATCTAGGCTCAATTTTAGTGCTTTCTTCACCAAATTCTGAACTGTATTTGTAAGGCCAGGATAAACCCACCATGTTTGTGCCTCTGTATGCTTGTTTCAGTAGCACAAGCTAATTCTGAATGTTAGTTATCTACAAAGTGTTGCCATTTAGAAGAGACCAGAGGCATGAACGGTAAAGCCCAGGGGTCAAGAACAGTAAACATATTATTGTGGCTATGCCAAATTCAGGCTTGAGCATAAATAAAAGGCAACATTTACTTCAAAATGGTTTTAAACAGTGAAACAAATTATTAATAGTTATTTAATTTTGTGAATAGTTTCAGCTCAAGTTAGTTGGATATAATAGTCAAGTCTTACTAGAAAGAAAACAAAAAGTAGTCTTAGCAGACCTGCAAACCATCACCAGTGTTAAATATAAAATCAGAACAGGACAGTAACAAGAGTCCAGCAGTGCAGATGGTGGATGCACGTTCAAGCACTTTTTTATTGCACGACTCAATCAGATGCGAGATCCTGCACAAAAGTGTTTCAGCACTGCGTCAAAAAAAAAAAAAAAAAAAAAAAACATACGTCAGAGATCGCGTGATATTTACAATAGATGCATCACTATTACCACTTATACATTATGTACATATTAGTCTCTGGTTTACTATGACAGTAGTTACAGAATGAAACCCCTACGCACACATTACACTTCAGCTCTACAGAGAATTACAGTGCTTACAAAAATAACTGGCTGGACTACATTCACTCACAAATCAAGGTTAGGATGAAGATTGTTACAGAATGTCGCAAATGCTCATACGTGCTACACCTATGGACGTGCCATTCACACATTCTGGGAAAACAACTAAAGCAAATCTGGTTTTTGAGATGGTTTAGAGATCCCAGAACAAAAATTTAAAAAAGAAACACAGATAGTGGCTTGAAGACAAACAGCCAAAATAAGACTCCTGTTTGGACAGACTTGAGATTAAATGGCACCAGAAAAAAAAGACTAACATTCCAAAATGTTCATTTTGACACAGGACAGACTTCACTGCGACGCATCCAGTCAGAAGCCAAATATGGAAACACATACAATAAATCCCTTCCAGGACAAACCTGGTGTTTCCACATTATTAACCGTTACAAAGCCTTTTTGTTTGACCACTGTACAAATTTTCATTTGAACCAATAAACACTGAAGATGGTTTCAAAGCTAGTACGGTCGTTTTAGGACATTTCTGACTCTGCTCTTTAGGCCTAGCTTGGTGCTAGTAACACCTCCACTTTAATTTCCAATTGACAGGCTACATATATGTTGACAACATATATAATGAAGGTGTATCTGTAATCTTATGATTTCAGATCATGAGATGAACCTAAGGTGGGACCAGATGATTACTAGGGGAAACAATTGCTGCACATAAAGTATCTCTTGGACTTTATTCTGTGAAATTCCAATAATATGAGAAGCAAAAAACAGATTGAATTGCACATAAATCACCCAACCTGTGAGGAGTGGGAAACAAACACGTGGATTAAAGGGTCACATTAAGGAATCCACGGGCTTTAAACAACGTTTTCCTACACTCTTTGTTAATCAGTGGCTTCAGTGAGAGCCTCAGCAACATCAGGACTTCATGGGTTTCACTGTTAGTAACCACAATCAGACAAAAGCATGTTTGAAAAACACTTAGCCTAACCTCAATTAGAACAGAGCTCCTCACATCAATAGAAACATCAAGACAGCAGAACTGGTTCTATGGGGATTTAAAAATAAAGTTGTACTGACAACGGATCCTTGTAATTCACTGGCTGTTCTGTAAAATGTCAGAACAACAGTGGAAAAAGTAGGGTTAAAGTACTTGTTTTGTATGACCAACAGTCACTATTATCACACAAAATGAGGACAAGCTGAGAATCACAACTAATGTTGCAGCTCTGTTCCAGCTGTTTGGCAGTTTTCCTGAACAACTGATTATTAAAAGGAATCGTTTCATTCAATTTTAGGTTTACAAAGGGCTTTGGTAAGTTCTGAGATCAGTCATTTTCAAATGCACCATTGTCAGTTTTTTAAACCGAGCTCAAACCAAGTCCAATCCAGCAGTCACCTCTGAAACAGCGTGACTTAGTTTGAGACAGGTGTACCTAATAAACTGACCACTGAGTTTATGTACTGACTGCATGTGTAGGACCGTACACTTGTATTATTATGATGCTAATTTTAATATTAACTCAGAAAATTCCAGCCAAAAACGAGTCTGTGACTGCACATATTCCACTGACACTGTTCATACTGCACTGGGCTCTTGCAAACAGATGTGGTCACGTTTGTCAGTGTGTAGTCAGTGTTGGGGCCTGTGGACAGTCTGTGTGGTCACTCAGGGACATGGGCAGATGTCGACTTCTAGATGCCTCAAAGACACAAGTACAAGCAGGGCTTCACACTCAAAAGCAGAGCTGAGACATGAGCAGTGCAGCCAGAGCGCACAGAAAACTGACAGCACAGAGTCCTAACCTGGTCACCATACTCTACGTTCTCTTAAGCCTCGCTGTGATGCTTCCCTAAGGAGCTCAAACTAAACTGAGACTAAAAACGTCCTGAGGATTAAAAAAAAAAAAAATTGAGATCTTGAGTTTAAAAGCTCAGCTACAGATGAACTGCTCAGTGAATTAATCACCATTTAAACCAGCCTGGCCAGCGACACTGAACGGCCTTCAGATTCCAGCATGTCCTTATCTACAAAATAAAAGTTATGCACCTCAAATTTCAGGAACAAACAAGCACCTTAAGGTTAGGAGAAAAAAGTTCCAGAGAATCACCGTCATTCCTTCATTAATGTGGTTTACTCAGCGAGAGGAGCCAGAGACCCATAAACCTCCCAGTAGTGTTTAGATTTCAGACGTTAAGCACGCTCTCATTTTAATACTCGTGTAATCCCACATTCTCCACGCAGGCAGGTTGATGAATGGTTTGTAGCGCCACTGTTTAGCATCCTGATATGAAAAAACAACTCAAATCTAAAAAGGTAAAACTGAGCTAAAACAAAAGAAACAGTTGTAAAATAGCAAACCTGTCTACAGTTACATGCAACCTATGGCTGCAAAATACAAGTAAACAGGTCATCTGAGGCCTATCCATAGTGTCCTGGTGTTTGACAGTACATCTGGCATATATATACTATATATAAAAATAAAAACAATCCATTTGGCAACCTGTGTGATGTCTTACACATTTCCAGTAATCACAATTTGGTCTCTGATATACATGTATATAGATACAGCTGTAAAACTCTGCCATTCAAGATCATCCATGTTGAGTAAGGGGGTGACTGGGATTCAAGTTAGGTTTTACTCCCGACTGGTTCAGCTTCTTTTCAGCAGAAACCAGCTGGTTTCTTTTGTTATTCTAAAATAAAATAATCAAAACAATGACAACAATAAAACAAAAAAGCCAGTGGACTGGATGAGAATTATACTCCACTGGCCCAGGTTTCCTGACCTGTGCTCGCTCTGCTGGTTCGTGCTTTACCACAGATGGTTTGCCTCAGTGCAGACAAGTAAAAATGAACCTGAAATTGTTAAAATAAAAAAAAAAGGTCATTGCCAAGCATGTGAGGGATCAGCTTTCCCTGATGAGAACAATGTACAGTGCCTTGTTTCTTGTTATACTGAAGACCTTGTGTGGGGTTAATATTTGTTCATGAACCGGAAAGCAAGTTTCAGAGTTTTGTTTAGTCTTTTGGCTCTCTGAGGGTCAAAGGTCACGTCAGGCCTCTGCTGATTTCCTCTTAGAGCCCTTTGTTTTTGCCTCAGCTTCTTCTGGCTTCCTGGAGCCTTTAGGAGGACGGCCGACAGTGACAGCAGCAGCGGCAGTCGACTTAGTCTCAGAGCTGACATCCTGATCCTGGTTGTCCATCCCCTCCAGCTCGTCGTGCTCAAGGCAACACAGCTGTCCAGAGGGAGGCCAGGGGCGCAGTGCCCCCTCCTGGTGGGCCTTACAGAAGGAGTTGGGGCACAGCTGGCAGAAAGCCTCTGAGTTTTTACCACAGATGTCACAGTGATGCCAGGGGCAGTCCCAGCGGCCTGCGGGGTGAACATAATGCTCAGAATGGACAACTGCAACTAATCAACTTTTTTTGTTTTTAGTGAATCTGTTGTTTGTTTATAAAGTGTCATAAAAAATGAAAGATGTCTGTTATAATTCCTCTCAGTCAAATGCTTTGTTTTCTTCCAACCCAAGGATTTTCAGTTTATTGTCATACATCATGTAGAAGTGTTCAAATCTGAGAAGCTGGGACCAGCAAATGTTTGGGACTTTGAGAATGTTTTCTAATGATTTTTTAGTTGATCTAATCAATGAATCAAGGAAAAATTCTGTCTTCACAATAAAAGGGTATGGTTTTAGATGAAATCTTTGAACGAGTCCTCTAATGAAGGTATCTGTGCTCCAGACATGCTCACTCAACAACAACAACTAAGCAGGCAAAGTTTAATTACTTGAAAATTAAATGACTTAAAACTCAACAGACATCCTTCCAGTTACCTGTGTTGAATATCAGTGACTCGATAATGATCTGAATGCTGCAACGGCTGCTGCGTCGGTTGTGTTTCTTACCGA